TTGGCAACAGCTCATAGACTGCATCGTCCTTTCCAACAGGTATCTTGCTCTGATCTCCTTCTGACAGCCCGTGTGATCGCATCAATTCCTCAATGTAACCTTGCTGGCTCACGTAGATGTCTTCCTTTTTCAAGGTAAGCTCCATCCCCAAAAACTTGATTGGGTTCCGCTCCGACAATATACTGAGCTCCGATGTCTCCCACTCCCTTTGGACCATGACCGCCAGGCTTTCAATCACCTCCCGTGGTCCTAGTAGTAGGTAATCGTCGACGTAGATGAGGATCACCGCTGTGAGCCGTCCGTTCCGGTCTCGAACAGACCACCAGCTTGTAATAGTCTGTCCGCGCTCCATAGATAGCCCACCAGGTGGCTGCATTCTCATCATCTGCTGGTCTCGGTGTCGGGACCATAATACCGGCGACTGCCTCAAACCGTACAAGGCCCGAATCAGGCCCCATAATTCTTGGCTCTCAATGAGATCCAGTTGTTGTAGTAGACGAGGCGGAGAGGCAATAATAACTGGGTCATCACTGTGGGCACCGATTGGCATTCTCAAAAACGCCGACACGATATCAATGATACCCACAGACCATTGATTCCGCTTTGCCATCACCAGTGCGGCGCGAACTGCTTCAGAGGGCGCTGCTTCTGTATATAATGACATAGATTCTGAAGCTGCGTAATTGCCGCACACCACCAACCTCGCCTTGCGTTTGATCCACGTAGACCGGTCCTCAATCTTGGCCTTAGGGTTCGGTTTGATAGTGAATACCAGTTTGGTCGGAAGCTTCTGGGCCCGGGGATGTTGTAGCCATTCTTTCCTTTCTTGAGTGCCCACTTTTAGCCTCTTGATCGCCACTTCCACCGCTCCCAGTTCCTTCACGATGGCATCCTTCCAGAGGTGTAAATTTCCCATTGCATCTTGAGGATTCACTGTATGCGTTACCTCCAGCGGTGCCACCAACCCATTGATCACACTCTCGATATCCGGGGTGTAGTTCACCTCAACCTTCCTCACCCGATGTTGTAGTAGAGAACGTGCCTCCGGTTGTATCTTGACCATTCCACCATCAACTTCAAGGAACATATCCCAACCACTGCCTTCCTTATCCTCGGCCTCATAAGTTGCGAACTTCTCCTCCTCGAAGGTTGCGGTCTTCTCCTCCTCGACGGTTGTGAACTTCTCCTCCTCACCCACGGTCGTGAACTTCTCCTCCTCAACCGCGGTCACCGTCTGTAGCGATGGAC